CCCTTTTGCGCTTTTGTCTCTCTATTTCCTGCTGTCGATATTTTTTTTCAGCCAGGATCTCAGAAAGAGTTTTTATTCGGATAGTGGGGGGGCTTCTTGTTCTTGATGTAGAATCATCAGCTTTTGAAGGACTGGCTCTCTCGAGTTTAGTTTGCAACTCTCCCCGTTTTTGACTGGCTCTTTCAAGAAGAATTTCTTCCAAGGTCTTCACATGGATGTCACTGACTTTATTCCCTCTTATTGTTGCTTCATCATTGCTTGGCCTAGTTGGTACGCCTAATCTCTCCCTCGGAGACTGGGAAATCTGCATTTTATGTGGTGTTTTGTTGATATTTGTTTCTGGAGCTTCCACTTTCTTTCCTAGACGCTCTGCCAGGCTCCGCTTTAATTTGGGATCACTGTCATCATCAGCTGAGAATTTTCGTTTCCCCAGTCTGTCAGAAAGATTCAGTCTAACCAAAGGTTCTTCTACTTTGCTTGACAAAGCTACTGTCTTTAGCACATTTTTATCACGCTCTTTTTCAGGACCCAGAATGCTCTGAGGTTGGATTAGAGGACTGGAAACTCCTGAAGAAACTTCTTGTTGTAAATTGACACCAGGTTTCTGTGGAGAAGCCACCTGTAATGCATTCTGGACTTCAGGAGTTGACAGTAGAGGTGTTTTGGTTTCATCACCTTTCTTGGAAGACTGGTTATCATCATCTGTGGCATTAATTATAACCTGTCGGTGTTTGGGGTGAGTAATATTTTGGTAACTTCCTCCTTTCACACCGGGAACACTCTGCCGCCGAGGAGAGGGGCTAGACTGCACAGAGACTTTGCTGTGTTGAGCTGCTAGCTGGCCTGCCTTTACTTCTTCAGGTGATGGGAGTGCAGCGGGCACAACGGTTTTGCTTGGAGGTAGGAACAGGCCGTCGACATTGGGTCGTCCTCTCTCACGGTGTAAAGCACAGTGTAATTTTTGACATCCTACTGGATGATTTTCCCTGTAGCACGGAATTTCACTGCGTCGTCCTCTCTCACGGTGTAAAGCACAGTGTAATTTTTGACATCCTAGTGGATGATTTTCCCTGTAGCACGGAATTTCACTGCGTCGTCCTCTCTCACGGTGTAAAGCACAGTGTAATTTTTGACATCCTACTGGATGATTTTCCCTGTAGCACGGAATTTCACTGCGTCGTCCTCTCTCACGGTGTAAAGCACAGTGTAATTTTTGACATCCTACTGGATGATTTTCCCTGTAGCACGGAATTTCACTGCGTCGTCCTCTCTCACGGTGTAAAGCACAGTGTAATTTTTGACATCCTACTGGATGATTTTCCCTGTAGCACGGAATTTCACTGCGTCGTCCTCTCTCACGGTGTAAAGCACAGTGTAATTTTTGACATCCTACTGGATGATTTTCCCTGTAGCACGGAATTTCACTGCGTCGTCCTCTCTCACGGTGTAAAGCACAGTGTAATTTTTGACATCCTACTGGATGATTTTCCCTGTAGCACGGAATTTCACTGCGTCGTCCTCTCTCACGGTGTAAAGCACAGTGTAATTTTTGACATCCTACTGGATGATTTTCCCTGTAGCACGGAATTTCACTGCGTCGTCCTCTCTCACGGTGTAAAGCACAGTGTAATTTTTGACATCCTACTGGATGATTTTCCCTGTAGCACGGAATTTCACTGCGTCGTCCTCTCTCACGGTGTAAAGCACAGTGTAATTTTTGACATCCTACTGGACGATTTTCCCTGTAGCACGGAATTTCACTGCGTCGTCCTCTCTCACGGTGTAAAGCACAGTGTAATTTTTGACATCCTACTGGACGATTTTCCCTGTAGCACGGAATTTCACTGCGTCGTCCTCTCTCACGGTGTAAAGCACAGTGTAATTTTTGACATCCTACTGGACGATTTTCCCTGTAGCACGGAATTTCACTGCGTCGTCCTCTCTCACGGTGTAAAGCACAGTGTAATTTTTGACATCCTACTGGACGATTTTCCCTGTAGCACGGAATTTCACTGCGTCGTCCTCTCTCACGGTGTAAAGCACAGTGTAATTTTTGACATCCTACTGGACGATTTTCCCTGTAGCACGGAATTTCACTGCGTCGTCCTCTCTCACGGTGTAAAGCACAGTGTAATTTTTGACATCCTACTGGATGATTTTCCCTGTAGCACGGAATTTCACTGCGTTTATTTATTGTCATGTGCCGGTATCTACAAAACGGTTGAAAACAGCGTCCTTCCTGCCAGAATGGGCAAACTGTGTCATTTCCCCGCGCAGCTTCACAGTGACGGAATGGGCACGTGTCACCTCTGGTACAGGTAGAGTAGAAAAAAAAATAGCAATCTTCTCCTCGACTAGACATGCTGAATGAATTCTCAGATCAAAGGTGAGGAGGCTTCCTGAAATAAGCCACTGCCTCCTCGAAGGGAGGACCAGCTCCAAGTCCTCCTAAAATGGGCTTGATCTCCTGATCTTCCAAATGACAAGCACAAAATTGTCTTTAAAATGTAATCGTTAGCTGGTTATTCTTAACAGGAACATCCGGATCTTCTCTGAGTTCCAATCTTTTATTCTCTTAATACTAGTTAGTCAATTTTCTAGGAATTATTAGGCAAGGGAATATCCCCAGTCAATCTGCTTCTCCGTCGTCGAAGAACAAGTTGGCTTCCAGGGACCCTCAGTCTCCAGGTTTGTTGCGCAACAGAAGGGGGAGGGGAAGAAGTCATTCTAGATTGTGATGCGTGGGGTGGGGGTGGGGAAGGGCAAAGAGAGGGGAGCCAGAAGCCAGCCCACTCTGCCAGGCCTAGAGTCAACGTCACAATATCTTAATCTACAACCATAACCATGGCAACTTCCACTTAAACTGAAATTATACCATAATGAAAAACAAACAAAAAAAGCCACCCACAAACAACAACCAAAAAATCTGACCAGCCTTTCAAGTGAGCCTTCTACTACAATGTATAGTACCACCTTTCCAACCAAACGTAAACATCAGTGGAGCACAACACCACCCCAGTATCTGAAACTCTGACCGAAGTCTCGCGCAGCATTACCAGAGACCTTCAACAATAACCACCTCTGTGCAACACAACTCGAACCCACGTTATAACTTTTTCCTCTACTGTAATGGGTAGATTCTGGAATCCATTTAACTACGGCTAGTGAACTTATGCCTGCACAGAAATGCTCACTCCCACTTACTCTGAAAACACTTTTACTGAACTACTACAAGGATACCCACTTCATTCATTTGAAATTACTACAAATGCCATCAGTCCCACCTCATCCACTGCAACTAAAAGCACAGTAATTTCTCGTAAGCTCAATCCGCTTAGAGACAGCATAATCACGTCAGTGAAACTATGAGGAAAACAACTCTTAACTCCATCTTCCACTGAGCCCTCAACCACAGCACCAGCTGTCACCGAACAGAACCTCCTTCAGTTCCTCTGAGTGGAAAGAATTAAATGAAATACAGGTACCACTGTATAAATCATTGATTTTGAAAATATTACCATAATAAATTTCTCAGATGCAAATTAATTAGGAGAAAAATTTATTACTTTAAACGTTATTTTGAAAATGGTAAAAGTTAATGAGTTAAGTATTATTTTAAAATGATAAAAAATATAAAACATAAATCGGACACGGTGCACATCTGTAGTCTTAGCTACTCAGGTGGCTAAAGCAGGAAGATTTCAAGTTCAAGCAAGCCTGGGCAATTTAGTGAGACTTGTCTTAAAAAAGGAGAAAAATTTATTACTTTAAACGTTATTTTGAAAATGGTAAAAGTTAATGAGTTAAGTATTATTTTAAAATGATAAAAAATATAAAACATAAATCGGACACGGTGCACATCTGTAGTCTTAGCTACTCAGGTGGCTAAAGCAGGAAGATTTCAAGTTCAAGCAAGCCTGGGCAATTTAGTGAGACTTGTCTTAAAAAAAAAAATGACCTGATGCCTGATGACTCAGGTGGCTAAAGCAGGAAGATTTCAAGTTCAAGCAAGCCTGGGCAATTTAGTGAGACTTGTCTTAAAAAACAAATGACCTGATGACCTGGGGATGTATCTCTGTGTGAAGGCTCTGGGTTTTATTTCCCAGTACTGCAAAAAACAAAAGCAAGCAAATAAAAAACAAAACAAAAACTCAAAACAACAAACAAAACACACACAAAAGGAGATAAACCCCCCAAATAATTTTCTTTTAATGTTGTCTATCCTTTTTACTGAAATATAACTTACAGACAACACAGATTTCAATTAACTCAATTTTCCATGTATAACCACCACGTAGATTGATATAAAATATTTCCATCATCTCAAAAATTTGTCTCATCCTTGTCCTAGATTCCTGTGTCAGTAGAGGTAGCCATTATCATGAATTCTGTCACCATACATTACTTTGGTCTGCCTTTATTGTCACATTAGGGTAATCACATAGTGCATGTACTTTTTAACATGGCTTCTTCTGCTCTGCAAAATATTCCTGACATATATCTGTGTAAGCATTTCCTTTTAATTATCTAAATATAATTTTCCTGCTGAAAATGTTGTTAACATTGCAGTTCTTCACAAAACAGTAAAGCTCTCATACTGCAATTTAATTTCTATTTTCCTATTATCGTGTCTCTGGTAAAAAAATAACCTGCTGCACACATACATATGCCTAATCTATACTGATCTTCCTTTGATGTTTTGTCTTACTCCTTTTTCTGTACTTCTGCCCTTGTCTATTATGAACTTTAAATTCTAGATGAGAACTTGTCCCCTACATGCTGTGTCTAGCTTCAAACCATTCCTTGCTTTCTGAACTTTTTTAAGAACACAAATTCAGACCAGTTTAGTCTTAATCTTTTCCCCACCTTCTTTTATTTCCACACATTTTCTATATCCATTATATTCAAGAGTAGGATTTCTTAACCTTTGCACAATTAACAGTTTGAGTTTTGTTGTTGGAGGATGTTTAATAGTATTCTACACTGGATACCGGTGGCATCTTCTCCCCAAAGCTGTGGCAATTAAAAATATTAATTGTTAAATGTCCCTCATGTGGGAACCATGTACTCTTTTAAAACTGGAAACTGTCATTTTGCTGCCATTTGTTCCAAAAAATTCCTTAAAGGCAGTGAATACATTTATTTGGAGTATTTTTGAATCATAAAATATAATATTCTAGCAAGATGGAAATGTCATTGATTTGTTTATCATTGAACACGTAGAAATTAGCATAAAGTACAGGGCATAAATAATTTTTAATATATTTAAAAATTTACCACTTCTGAGTTTATGAAAAACTATTAAAATATTTCTTTTGAAAGAATTTTTAGAGGGCCTATTTCATGTATCACAAACTTTTTCATTTGAGATTGTCTCAAATCCTGATAAGCATCATCTAAGTTTCTGTTCAAAGACCTCAATCTGGATGCAACTTTACCCAGCTTTGTGGAGTTTGGGATGAAAGTGGAAGCCTTTATTAAGAGCCATTTTCAACTGGTATCTTTTGCGATGTTGAGACTTCAGTCTTTGCTCTTCTTTGCTTTTTAAAGGGCTTGTTTTTGACATTTATGTGGCTATGTACCTTTCTCCATGATCTTTCATAAGCTAAATGATATGAGAAGGATGTTAGACCAAAATGGGAGACACACAGGAATGCACAGCACATAGGTAGTCCTTACTTTTCTGAGATTTCAGGTTCCTCTCTGCAAATTCATTCTCAATTGTTCACAGTTTTCTTTCTTTTTTATCTCACCGAGGCCAACATTCATTAAGTACAGTCATCTGACATGTACACATATGCTTGGTCGTAGGATAGGTGTATATGTGGTGTTAGCAAAAATTGCCAAATAGTTGTATCATTTTTCCATTCCCCTAGTAATACACAAGAGTTCCATTTGATGGCCAATGCTTGCAATGTGAATCTTTTAATTTGAGTTTGTCAGTGGGTTGTCTTGATCTGACAGGTTTGATGGATGTCTAGACAAAAAATGATACCAACACAGGCATTTTCCAAAAAGAACAAAACTACTTTGCTTTGATTGCTTCATTTGCATGGTGTTAGTTTTGACTTTTGATTACCTAGATGAATTTGTTTGAAAAATTTAAAATATTCCAATGTCATTTTTGATTAAAAAAAACTTTCTTGGAAGGGAGGAGGGCATGAAGGGAGGGCGGGGGTATGGGGAAAATATGAGAACCAAGACCTGTCTTATAAAGGTACAAGATCCTAATGATGAATGTAACTGTACTGTATACCTAAAATGTACCAATAAACTCAATGAGAAAAAAAAAAAAATTTTTCCTGCTATTTTAATGTAGAGTCTCCTTGGCCTTGTGTATTTGCTCTGTGGGGTAGCTTTTCAATTCAGTATCTCTGGGATACTAAAAGAAAAGGCATAGTTAAAATTTATTGAACTAAAATGTTAATATTTTCTTGTGAACACGAGAACAGGATGCAGTTATAATCACACAATGCTGGCATTAACATCTTCAAAAGTATTTTTTTTTAGGTTTGAGGTCTAGATTTAGGTGTATAACTGCTCGATTTTTGAGATTAATTTTAGAACTTTCAGTACTCAAATAATTCTAATTATTTGAAACTCAGAAAGGAATCTTAAATGTGCAGTACAGGTACAATAACTCAAGATTTACAGGTTCACATGGGCATTATTTTGGTATCTGTGTTTTTCAGATCTGAGCTGAAATGATATTTAGTTTATTTAGTTTTTATAGTTGCTTTGGCAGCAAAAATAAATGCAGAAAGTAATTTGACATAAAGAATTTAAAGAATAATTTAAAAGTGGAGAAATATTTTTTTTCCTCAAACAATAGACCAACCAAGAGAGTCATATTGCTTAATGAATATTTTTTGAGATATAAATATTTGTTAAGAATGACATCTCTATCTCAAAGCATGAGAGATTTTCCCTCTTTTTTGGTTCTAGTTCAGCTGATGCCCCTCTGGTTCTGAGTTCTCAGATCCCTGATGGGATTTTATTATGTCAGAACACTCAGATTTAAACAAGAAATTGTAAATTATCAATGATCATGTTAATCTTTTCTCTACTTAGTTATGAATTTAAATGTGTCAAATTCTATAAACAATGTGGTATATGATATACATATATGCACATATATACACGTTGACTTATGTTTATGTAAAATTTCACTTTCACCTGAATATTTTGACAAATCCAAGAAAACTCAGTGAGATCAGTTTTGACCTCACTGCCCAGGGAGAGATATTATTCTGGCTGATTACCGATAGTGACTGGCTGCTTAGTTTGGTGCTCTGGGCTCCAGCATTCACCTCACCTCATGCTTGGTTAGAGGATCCAAGCTCAGATCTTGATTAAACTTAAGAGATTCTTACTTTTCAGGTCTGATAAATGCAGATTGACCTTTATCTGGCAGAGTTACTCAAAGTGATTCTTCTTGTCTGTAAATCTTACTTACTATTGAGCAGGAGACTCTAATTTCCATCCAGTCTTACAGTATTTAACAGAAAGAGAAAATGGACTTCTGACAGGTCCATATTTTTCAAGAGTTCACATGGTTAGTTTGTGGTAGGCTCAGCTAGAGAGCACAGTTTTGTTGTAAGGTTCCCATCACCTGTGCTTCATCTCATTACTGGTATTTCTGAGTGAAAATTATTATTTGGAGTTGTGGTGGCAGCTGTCCTGTTGCTCTTGCTACAAGCTTCCTGTTCCCCTCGCCTTTGGTGCCTGTTCCCCTGGCCTTTGTGATCAAGGTCAGTAACCAGTTTGGAAAACTATAAGTCAAGCATTGCGCCAAGTACCTTATTCACATTATTCTTACTTAACCCTTTGATGTGGTATATGTTTTCCTAATAAAGGGATAAAAGCTTCATATGTTAAGAAAAATGCCAGCTATTAGCCTGTTTTTAAGTCAAAATATTCAACCTTGAAGCTTTGGAATCCAAAGCTCCTGATTATTACGTGCTACTTCATGGATGAAGGCAAATATGCAATAAAAATTATTTTTATTTTGTTGCTGAGACAAAATATCCAACACTCAGTGTTAAAAGAGGTTTACTTAGTTCATTTTGTAGCAGTTTCAGTTCATATTGTCTAGACCTGGCTAAAAGTCCCCAACAGTAGCCATACTACTGTCTCAACATTGGATCACCCTGAAATTTCTTCTTCCAGATTAATTATCTAAGTTAACTGAGATATTAATGGCCCTTTATCTTAGTTTCAAGCAGTCACCAGACATTAGCGAGCTGCAGACAATCTTTCTGCTCAGGGATAATGTACCTTGTTCAGAGACCAGCAGCCAAGGTTTTCCTTCTTTCCAGCAGAAACCTCCTGAACCTGATCTTTGCCTACTGGATTTCTATCAGCATTCTGGTCTTCTCTTCTCTTACCATAATATACCATCAAATACAGTCTAAAGAATTCCAGCTCAACTTTTTCAGCTCACACATCAAACCTTTCCATTCTCTTCCCACAAGCCAATCCTAAGGGTTCCTGAACCATAGTTTCAAGTGTACTCATAGCAATGACCTTACTTCACTGGTACCAAATCTCTCTGTTAGTTATATTTCTCCTTGCTGAAATAAAGTACCAAATACACAAATATAAAAGAGGAAAGGTTTATTTAGCTCACAGTTTAAAGGGTTTCAGTCCATAACTGGCTGGCTCCAAGGCAGGGTGGCACATGGCAGAGGGACAACATTTCATGGAATCTGACAGAAGGTAGCAACATCAACAGGGAACCTTA